TCAGTCATTTTCACAGGCAGGACGTCTTTACTATATATAGGTCGTGGTTTGTTCCGGTTTTTCCATGTTTCTTCATTAGATAGAGCAACTTCTATGTTATGACCAAATACGTGATCATATATTCTTCTTCCATATTGTTCGATATCTTCATCTTTTCTATATTCAAATACATCTGCTGAATGTTCAGATGAGTTTCCAGTATCATTAGAGCGCACATTCAAATCATTTTCCTGATCCTTGTCCCCAAACAACTTCGCAAAAAGCAGGTCCTTGGCCCACACGATACAATGAATAAACTACAATTTGAGCAATACAATTAGAACTTGAAGTAAAACAATTCTAGGCAACAATATACCTAAACATGAGATCATAATTCTAGCATATTGACTACTGGTTGCTCAAAGCCAATACAAAGAAGCAAATGACTCCCACCCAAAAGAAAGTCTAAAAAATGAATGATTACCTTTGATGGAGTGCTCGTAATAGTACACACAGGATAAGTCTTTGGGGCAGGTTTTGGCTGACACTCATAGCACTCTGTTTTTCCCTTCAAATGTACAGTAACCTACATACAGGATAGTTATAATCATACAATATGGTCATATTCAAAAACATTCAGAAAGGAAACTAATAACATAAAAGCAATGCAAAAGCCAAGCAAAAGAAGGCACAGCATCAAAGCATAAGTTCATATCGACTGAGAGATAGAGAGGGTTGATAAGAAAACGGAACACAAAAGTTCAAGCAATTTAAGTCAAATAACCAAAGAATATTCAAGTCAGACAAGACTTCAATGAAACTTAAACCTTCAGAACCTAAGGCGATGTTAAGGCTCAGACGTTCAGTTAATAAACCAGTATAAAGTGAAGGAGGAACAGAGACATGTAAGCGTATTGAACTAGTAATAAAGAAACACTTCAAAAGAAAATTCCTAAATTTAAATTGCTTACAACAGCTAATTTTTTAAGCATATTTCAGAGATGCATCAGTATAGTACCTATTTGATAAAGAAAATATATGGAGCCTTACAATAGCACTTGCCAAGAGAAACCTAGTTACAAGATAAGAACCACAAATATTATAGCTAAAAGACATGCAAAAACCTAGATTACCTGTCCCAAGAACCCTGTGGTCCCACTTTCAACCAATGGGACATCAGCTGCCAAGCAAAGACGATTTACATGGCGCCTTGCATCTAAGTTATCCAACCCATTCAACACAACATCAAACTCCTTAAAGAAATCAACGTTGAAGTGAGACTCCTTAACATTTGAATGGTATGGTGTAATGCTTATGTTGGGCCTGAATCTTAAAACTGCATCTCGAGCAACCTGATAAAAATATTGATGAAATACATATCATTAAGTTAAAACTACCAATTAAAGCAAACATGGGAAAAAGTTCATAAATGTACTTTGGCCTTAGACAGCCCAACATGGGATCGTCGGAACAAAAATTGTCTATTCAGGTTACTGACTTCAATAGTGTCCATGTCAATCTGCAAGCAGAAAAATATATTTGCATGAATAAATAAGTTACAAAAAAATTATGTCTATTACTTAAGCCGGTAAGTAAGTTCTACAACAAGAAGTGAAGGACAAAACATCAGTTCCAACACACACAATCAACTTGACCCCACAAGGCATAGCAAATGATATTTTTTAATGATTGTAAAAGACAAAACCCAGGTAAAACCCTTAGAATCATCATGTATATAATTGATAGCTCCCCTCTTATAGTTAACTAAACCCCAAGTTGGTTTTAAAAGATGCGCCACGGGCGCGCCTAGGATCGAGGAGCAGCCAGGCAATTAAGATGGCGCCCTCCTGGGTTGAGGCAAGGCGATTTACAAGAGGCTCTCAGAGGCATGTGCCTCGGGGCTTTAGGCACCAGACGCAGCGCCTTTCGATTTTTTTAAAATATTACTATTTTAATAAATTATTATATTTTTATATTAAAAAACCCCATCTTAAAAATAAGCTCTCACTCACTATGTTTTTTATGTTAGTTTGTGTGTTGTTAGTTGATAGTGTAGTATTGAATATTTTAATCTTTAAAGAACTATAATATTATTTATCATGTTATTTTGAGTACAAAATATAGTTTACACTTGATATATATTATATATTACAAACAGTGCACCTCGCATACGAAAGGCGCGTGCTTGCGCCTTGTGCCTAGGCTCCAGGGACCTTTTGGGCCTCAGTGCGCCTTGCGCCCTTAAAAACCAAGACCCCAACACATCAATAACATAATATCAGCACATTCTACCAACTTAGTTTATCCATAGATCTTTTGTATCATCATAACCAACCCCATTCTCAAAGAACCATAGAAGTCAAGAACTAACTATATTACCAATTAAGTCAGCCTAAGGGCAACATCATACTACAACCAACAACATTTACCGCCAGTTAAAACTTTCGGTATCTCCTTCGATTTTGACAATATGTGTTCCCAGCATGATGAGCTCTGTGCTTCTACAATTTCTGATGTCCTACAGCATGTATGACAGCACCATTGGTATCACCTTGACTCCCGCTATCACCACTACCAATTAATTGCATCAAAACCACCGGAATTATGTCAAACAGATTTTGCCAATTCTTCCAAACTAAAACATGCATCCAGAATCTCCGGTCAATTAAACCTCTAGAATCATCACCCACGGAGACAGCAGAAAATCATTTGACAACAATTTATGATGATTATCTCAGTAATTATTGTCAAATTATATGCATAGAGCGGTTTCTACATGCATCATAAACGAAACTTGAGACCCATGAAAAGTAAATAACCCCCGTGAATTCTTCTAGAACTAGTTTCTGTCGTACCGAATTCTAAAAGAAACGAAATTAGACTGTTTAAACTTTAAACCCTAGAGGTAACTACAATTAGGGATAATTTAAATCCCAAAAAAATATTTTTGAGAATCGCTTTAGTAAGTAATCAACTTACAATATGAATATCCTGAAACCCAGAAAGGGCAAGTGTCTTGAGAAGCTCACATCCAATCCCTCCAGCCCCTACCATAAGCACTCTCGCCCTCTACCATTCAAAAGAGGGGAAAAGGGGGTAAATTGTAGTTAAATAAAATGCTTAATTTTCTTTATGGGATTTTAATTTCATACCTTAATGGAGGATAACTGTTCCTCAGAAGCCATTTCGAGGGTCAAACCAGAGATTAACAAGAAGAATATGAAGGTCCCAGAAGTAAAGAATAGGAAGTGAAATTGAAATCGATTTCCCCCTTCCGTTTTATAAGAGATATTTTCGTGGGGTTTGTGAGGTTTCGAACACGGGACGTCAAACAACGATTAAAGCCATGGGGGGCTAAACGAAAGTAAAATATATAATAAAAATTACAAAAAAATAAAGGAAAAATAAATCCTTTTTTAAACTTTTTCCCCCTCTCTTTCTCGGGAGACCAAAGAGATTCTGAAAAGTGGTTGATGTGCTGCTCCGCCGCTACCGGCGCGGTTTAATTTAGCTCGAATTTCAATGGCAGATCAAGAGATCTTTGGATGTTGATATTAAGCTAGCTTCTTTAGGGTTTTATGCCTTCAATTATTAGGACTACAAGCTAGTTGAAGAACGAAGACCAAAATTAGAAAAGTCATAATTTTTAATTGCTTTTAATGTAGTCGTAATTTTTTAGGGTAAACTATATGAATGACCACCCAAAATAGGGATTCCTGTCAATATGATCACCATTTTCAATATTGAGTCAATAAGATCACTTAACTATTTAATTGGTTCCAATATAGTCATTTGCCGTTAACATTTAATGACAGTTAATAAAATTAATATAATTATATATTTAATCATCAATATTTATATATTCAATCAATTTAGTCTTAATTTTTATTTTATTTAATAAATTAACCATCCAATTAGGAGTTGATACGTGTTAACATATGACATTACACGTGTCACATCTCCTGATTGGAGGATTTTTTTATAAATTTTAATTTACATAATTAAATTTATTTTTATCAAATCAAATGATGATATGTGTCACCTCTGATTGGATAAAAAATAAATCAAAGATAATTTGATTCAATTTCATAAAAATTAACCTAATATAAAAAAGTATGAAGTTTTGGGATAGATAGAGATTGAAGAAATCATTTAGAGATTCAGGCTGAAATCAAATGCTAATATGTTAAATAAAATTTGAGGAAGGATTCAAGCTTTTTTTATTAAAAAAATTGAGGATATATAAATTATGTAAGTTTACATAAATATATTTATTTTAAGATTTAAAAATTGTATTGAAGTGATTAAAGAATTATTGTCTTTCAAGATTTTAAGTATCATGTCTACAAAATATAAACTTTTAATGTAAGTAATTGAGAGTTTTTAAACATATTCTACTAAAATAAAGGGTAAATTGTACGTTTAGTATATAATGTATCGGTTTTGGTCCGTTTTAGTACCTAAACTTTTAATTTTTTTCATAACCATACCTAAATTTTAGTACCCTTCGTCAAAAACTTTAGTTTTTGTTTCATTTCAGTATCCCTTCAGAAATTAACGTTAAATTTAAAGAAAATTGAAAGTTTAGGTACTAAAATGGACCAAAGCTGATATTTTAGGTATTAAATGCGTTAAATTTTAAATAACGAGATATTAAAATGAAATAAAAACTAAACGATATATATGATTTTAAAAAAATTAAAAGTTTAAATACTAAAATAAATCAAAACTAATAGTTTAAATACTAAATTTGTAGTTTATCATAAAATAAAATAACGCATCTAAAAAACTGCGCTATAATTGAATATCTAATTAGTTTAACAAAGCACAATCTTTTTTTTTAAGTAAACAGGTTCAAGCATCAAGAATGTCATGATATAAATGTTCAACATTGAAAATTATACAGGAGATTAATAAAAAATTAATTAGTTTAACCAAAAATAAGATTGATTAATAATATAATAGAATTAACACATTCAAACCTCCTAGAACCGGAAAGTGAAACTTGAGATATGTGATAATTAGGAAACCAGAAGGCTTTAGATCTACAACAACCCAAAATATTTTCCAGCTATTTTACTTCATGAACTATTAACATTCGATCTGTAACAGTTATTTTTCACCATGAGACTAAATTTTTAGTGCACCGTTTCAACAAGAATTTAGGGTTTTTTTTAATATAATTATTAGAAGTTGTACAAGTCTTGTTAGTGTTGATTTGTTGACGGTGATGCTGAATCGTGGAACAAAGTTAAAGGCATGGCATGTACCTCAAAAATACCCGATTGTAGTCCCAGATATGTTTCTGGTATCAGTCTCAGTAGCATTGGTATTGCTTTTCCGGAAAAATGATGCAAAACCATGGAATAGGTTTGTGTCTTTGGTGCAATTCGATCCGAGGAGAGAGTTCCGGAACGGTACGGATTTGATATGGCAAATACCCGATTCGCCTAAGGCTGTTCTTTTTCTGGCTCATGGATATGGTCTTAGAGCTGTTGATTTTTGGGAGAGGTCTATTGAACGCCCCGAATGTGTTGGTTTGCCGGAGGACAGGCTGCTCGTGCTTCATGCTCTTGCCCGTAAGTTCGCCGTCTTGACTATATCGAGTGCTGGGAAGTGCTGGACTTTTGAGAAGGAAAGGTTGGTTGTTGAAGATATTATAACATGGTGGGTTAAGAAACACAATCTTGGAAAGCTGCCTCTTGTTGCTTTGGGAGCTTCTTCGGGTGGGTTTTTCGTATCGGCTATCACTAACAATTTGAAGTTTAGTAGACGATCGCCGAAGGATTATTCGCCGAATGGACATTGCAGAGGACTATCCACCTACCCTTTTCGTGCACATGCCGAAAGATACAAGTAGAAAATGGAAAATTACTAATTTCATGGGAGTTTTGCGAAGTAAAGGGGTTGATGTTGCGGAGATAGAATGCATGGAGTTGCCTCTGTCACCGACCTTTTTGTCCGACAGAATCCGGGGTTTTGATCAGACCGTTTCTGGTAGAGGCTTTGTCGACGAGAACGGGTATATGAAGCAGGACGGACGTGTAACGCCTTGGAAAGATGCTCTCCGGGATAGTAAGATTAACTTGCTGGAAAAAGATTTGATGCATCCTGTTGACGAAGATCTAAATCTTGCGTTTGCCTATCATGAAATGACTAGTTTGCAATCCGATGAGATTTTCAAATGGTTCGAATCTCATATGAACTGAGCAGTGCGCAATTGTGCCGCATTCTCCTTTCTCTCCATCCGACTTGAATACGGACTGAAATTCACAGCCCGTAGTATCGATCCCTCGACTCAAGCTGGACCAAATCGTTTAATGTTCGAAGTTTGTCTTCAAACAACCGAAGACCTGATGAAAAAAGTTACTACCCTGACTGAAACCAAACTGCAACATCCACCATGTATTAGGAAATTTAGCTGTGTGTGGAAAATAAAACACTGAAAACTCTACTTTAAGGGGTCTGTTTGTTTCTAGTAATATAATTTATCCAAATGTAATCTCAGCTTACACATTATTGGATATGTTACATTATTTTGTTCGATTTATTAGGCCAAAATGTATGATGTTTTGTTGATAGAAGATTACTTAAAAATACATTTTACTAGACTGCCGTTGGCGAATATGCTGACATTCCAAACAATTTCTTGATATATACGATGACTATGTTTATACTGTTATATATGCAGAGGTCTAAATCTATCCGATACCTTGGCAAGCAAGATGAATGCTCAGTGGCGTCGAGAATCACGCTCTAGCTCTTCAGGTTCTTTCCATACCAGAATAATGAAGATCAATGATGTAAATCCGGGTCATGAAGGCTTTATGCTACAAAGTCGTGCAACATACGAGAGGAACCGAAACTGTTCTGCCGGGTACCGGGATTTATGTATTCGATATCTGTTGTTTCAGCTCCTACAGAAGATGTTGCAGGATTGTATATGTCATCTGCTTTCATTGCAATGAAATTCTGATGGCTTCCACCTGATATAGGTATGCTACCCTCTTCACAATGCTGCAATCCTAAAGAAAGAGAGATGCTACTTCCGCTTCCGAAACTCCCCAATGCCTTCATGTGGTAAGAAGCAGTAGCAGCTTTCGTAAACCGACCACTAGCACTATCGGAGTAAGTAATTGCATTAGTACTATCGGAATGAGTAATTGCATTTGGGAAGATATTAGAGTCATCCGCATTAGGCTTCTGGTTCGTCCTCTGACTCAGTAACCCATAATCAGTTTCAGCGTCTCCATGTGTGACATATTGGAAACTAGCTCTGGTTGTTGATCCAGCGATATCTACATCCAAGACGCAGTCGGAATTGGAATACACCAACTCTCCGGCGCTACATCTCTCCGTGGTTGATGAACTCCCGCTTTGTTGCAGATCTTCACCTCTGTCCTTGGAGGTCCTTGTATCGCCTTTTCTTGCTTTGACTGCGTTTTCAGATGAAGAAATGGAGTCCATCTCTAAATCTGCAAATTCTTCCTTGTACATCTCTTCGACCATTGGCTTCCAAAGACGTACTCTCGCATTTATAAACCAATTCGAAACCTGAGCAGATGCAAATACATCATCAAGGAAACATTGCTACGGTTCATGGATACAGTGGTAGCAAGATGATTAATATGTGATTACCTGACTTCTAGTTAAGCCCGTTTGTCTTGCTAACATGATCTTCTCGGAGTCCTTCGGGTAGCTGGAGGACAATAAAAATAGCACATAAGTACAATTGAGTTACAATGCATCAGGATATTTTCGAAAGGAGTATCGTGTTAGAACATACGGATGAAGAAAATGCTCAAACAGCCAAGCACGAAGAATCGAAACAGAGTTTTCTGGCAGCCCTCTCTGCGGCCTCCATGCATGAGGTTGCATCAAACCGAGCTGCTGAAGAGCTTTCTGTTGCCTTAGTTGCTTCTCGACATAACGCAGACGAGTAATTCCTACTCCTTTACCATTTTCTGAAGCATCCTGGTCTCCGAGACTTTTACGTGTTGCCCGAATTTGATCATTAATTGCATCTTTCAAGCATCGAAACTGTCGGGATATAGTTTGAAGCGCAACTGCAGTGTAAGGCTTAGCGGCTCCACACCCGGCTATCACATCGAATGATGACACTACGATTTGCATCTGATGATTATACTGTTTATACCTTCTACCAACCTACAGAAACAACTATTAAGCTTCAGACACAATCGATCAAACAACAAAAATAACAAAGTGATCTGGTTCTTACCTCATCCAACATGTACAACAGCTTTGTTAACTTGCTTTGTAGTTCTTGTCTTTCGGCATGCGAAAGCCCGTTTTTTTGGGCGGAGTCTTGCTGGGTTGAAGCCACATTCTTCGATTCCCCATCCTCTTTGTAACGCTTCGTCCAGTTATCTTGTGAGTTTTGGTTTTTCTCGCAATCCGGCTGCTTTACGGCCTTAGGAACATTGACAACTTCATTGAGCAACTCTTGTGCTGCCTTGACATATTTAGAATTTGGAATAGTCCTGGACATACCAGACATTCCATATGAATCTTGATTAGCTCCAGCAAAACCATGCGGCAGATAATCTGCATTTCTCGATTGCTCGTCTCTAGAAGGAAGTGACGGATTACGAATCAAGAACGAAGCGAAACCCGAATAGGGATTACGATGGGGGATAGAAGGCATTTGAATCCCAAAGGGCATCTGAGTACCAAGGCTTAGTGACAATCCTTGACCTTGCAAGTTTAGACCATTGTGAAGGATGTTAGCAGTACCAACCATTGGATGCATAGAAAGCATTTCATTCCTACCATCCCTCCAAGCACCGAAATCATGTTCCGCGAATCGTGATCCGTCGAGGCTCGACAAGATTTCTTGCTGCTGCGAAGTCAAATCCGAAGCTTCCACAGCCTGAATCTCAATGCAATTACTCGGCTGCAGCTGAGGATTCACAGCAAATGAACTGGAATTCATATGCATCATCATGGTACCAGGAAGAACTGGTGCCTCTGCATATGAACCAGGCGATGATTCTCGCATATACATCATCGGAGCGGCATCGCTTTGGTTATCCGAACCGGTGTAATAAGTAGACATTTCAACTCAGATTACATAGTAAACTGAAAACAGGCAGTTGAAATTACTTCCACTAGAAACAATATTCATACATCCATATATCCATACATGAAAGATAAAGTCAAAAACTATATATACATCGCATATGAATAAAAAAATACCTTGGAACCAGCAACATTTGTGGGGAACATGAATTGTCAAAGACACCAGCAGATCCGACGATGATAACAAAATCCTTACGAAATCAAACACTTTTAGATCCCAATAACCCAGTACAACAACAACAACCTAAGCTCCAAACATTTCACTTTTTCGTCGAAACTTTTGTAGATACACCAGTAAAAATATAGAATAAAACAAACCCAGACCTTAGAAAATCATGGTAATGACTTCTTTTCAATCTGCAGTTTGATACTTCAGATAAAATGTAACCATGATGATAATTCAAACACAAAAAGGTTAGAGAGAGAAGGAGAGAGGAATGAATGAAATTATATCTCCTTTTTTTGGCTACTTTTTCACTAATCATATATATATATATATATATATATATATATGGTTTCCTCTTTTATGATATCAACTAGGAAGAAAAAGAAAAGTCCGTTTCTGGTTTTTCCGAAGTTCTTGCTCCATAACCTAAGCAGAGCTGTGTCGAGGGTTCGATCTTCGGACAACCCTTTTCTCGGCTGCTCGACTCGATTTGACTCGACTCGACTTGGCCTACCTCTTTCTCTCTTTGCTTATTCTTTCGAATTATCCGGCAGCAGCTTTGTTTCTTTGTTGTTGTTGAGGATATACGTTTGGTTAATGAGTTTCTATCTCTAACAACTAGTTGGTGGACCTAAAAGCTTCTTGCCTTTGAACCTTCACTTTCATTTCTCTCTCAATCCACTTTGTTATCTCTTTCACCATGGAAGAAGCTGCTCCCCCACCCCCCTCTCTCTCTCTCTCTGGAATTTTTGGCCTTTACTTGCTGCAATGTCCACCATATAAGATTATAACCTATATTCTTTTCTGTTATTTTTATTTTATTCAACTACTACAAGTTTTATATTATTATTATTGTTATAAAAGAGAAAATATTTTTTGCAAGTTATTTATTGGTCTTATTATATATTTTGCCCTTATATTTTACGAAAAATGAAAACATGGTCCTTTTATTTTAATTTATCAGAATTTGATCTATGCACTTCACAAAAATTAAGAAGTTGTCTATTTGGATGACACTTTTAGACCTCACCAGTAGACCACCAACCCGAAAATAGGCATTTTGACTATTTATATATAATAAATTAATAGAACCAATGCTTTATGTGTTTACCAACAAGGGGATTAACTTGTTAATTTTCATAAACTACAAGAACTGAATTCAGACAAATTAAAACATAGGGATTAAAATCATGATTAGATATGTTTTATTTGAATTTTTTGCTTTTAGGTCTAAATGCATCTCAGTCATCGTACTCTTTGAATTTTTTAAATTTAGTACTCTTCTGCATTAAATTTTATAATTTTTTTCATTGATACAAACATATTAATTGTATTTAATACCCGTAAAATATGCATCTGCATTAAGTTCTTCAAGTAAGATTAAGTATGAATCATAACTTTGTGAATAAAAAAAAGATTAAGAGACTCGATTTGTCACTTATTTAATGAATCTCTATAGTATCTAATTTAGATTAACCGATTAACAAATTAAATACCGATGATTATACTAAGAAAATATTTTATATACCTAATTGTTTAATGTAAAAATAACTAAATTTATCTAATTTTTAATTCGTTGACCATCAAAGAATATAATCACCTTCTTATTTTTGGGTTCTTCGTAAAACCAAGGGTCACTTTCTCTTTGATGGCACAAATCTTTGCAAAATATATCTAACGATCAGACAATAGAACCCCAAAATATAATACAAATGTATAAAATTAAGCAATTTTCAAAGGATATACTATAAGAATATTAAGTTGATTATATCTGGACCGACCTGAGTAGCACACCTGATTTTGATGAGTGAGTCTTCAAGCGGGGATTTTCTACATACATAAAGACTCGAACCTGAGACATTGCTTAAGCGATATCAAGTTGCTTAAATTATAAAACAAATTAAATTTATAATGAAACTTCAATTTTTTTAATTAAAATAATTATATATCGGTACTCAACTGCATTTATGTACTTTTTATTTCTTTATGATGGCTGACATAACGGATATAAACTAATTTAGACTGCATTCATCATATAGTTTATAAAAAATATTAAGTAGGGCCAATATTTCATAAATTTATTTAAATTTATGTCCCCATTATGAATTAGACTGGAAGAGTCGTTTCCATAATCAGTATTTACAATATTTAATTTGAATTATTCTATTAATGGATTGAATATTAGTGATTATACATAAAATAATAATTGATGCGAAGATTATCATTAAGATAATTTAAATTCGGATAAAAAAACAAATATATATATTGTTTAATTTCTTCTTTTAATAAAATTATTGAATTTTCAAACTTATTAAGTGTATGTATGTGTGTATATTATTTCTAACAGACTAAATTAAAGGCAGTGTTTAGCTTAGAAAACAAAACAAAATGCAATTATGGTGGCTTATAGACAAAGATGGACTGGGAGGGACTTTCATGTAAAAATAAGAAAATTAAAGGATCAAATAGAATAAAAATCCAAAAGATGTTTGCTCTATGCCTAAGAAACAAAGAAGCTTTGACGTGTGCGGAAAGGATTGGGTCATGTGAACATATGTGGTTAGGTTGAATTTTGATTCGCGAAAGAAAAAAATATATAGGGTAAATTATGTATTTAGTACTTAAATTATTAGTTTTAGTCTATTTTAATACTTAAACTTTTAATTCTTTTAAAATCATACATAATGTTCAGTATTGTTTTATTTTAGTATTTTACTGTTAAAAATTTAACGTGTTTAGTACTTAAATTATCAATTTTGATATGTTTTAATACCTAAACTTTTAATTCAAAATTTAATGTTAAATTTTGAATAGGGATACTAAAAAAAAACTTTAGGTATGATCTTCAAAAAAATGAAATTTTATTAAAATGAATCAAAATTAATAGTTTAAGTGTTAAATACGTTATTTACCCAAAAATTAAATAATAAAACACGAGGAAATATGTGATTGGCTGCAGGAACCAAATCTTTATTAATAAATCCAAGAGGGGGCCAGCAAGAAATTCCACACGGCCGGCACGTTTGTAATATTTAATCGACTAATATATATTGGATATTACAGATGCGAGAACGACTATTTTAACTTAGTTTGCTCTATTCGCAAACGTTAGGGTTCGAACTCATGATTTGTTTAAAAAATCTAGTGTCTCATCCTACTAGACTAACTGGTTGTTGGTAGCAAATATGTAATATTTTAAACCACTTACCCAAAATACAATATTAAGAAATTTAAAAATCTATTCAATTAATATATATATATATATATATATATATATATTAAGAAATTTAAATGATGAACTTTTATTTACTTTATGCTATTATTGGACTAATTCAAAACCATTATATGATTTTTATAAGCGAAATTGTCAACTGAAATCTGGTTCTATATTAGATTAATTAGTCGCTAATCTACAATATATAGGTACTAAATAATAATATTCTATTTATTTATAGACTAATTTTCAATATTAAATTGAATTTAAAAAAAATCACGAATTATCTATATTATTATTATATAAAAAAATCCTTATTGGGTGTAATACCAATGTAACACCATGATCCAGTCAGACCCAAAGATTCATAGATTATGATGTCACAAGAGACCACTGAAGTGGTTAACCCAAAAATTTCTTTGAAAACTGATTATAACTATCTGAGAAAAATTCATCCATAGTAAATAAAATAAAATGTGATAATAAATTTGAGTTTACAAAATACTGGGAATTCCCAAAATATATCCAAAATAATACAACACTGAGTTTAAGTCAAAAGAGTTACGACTGAATATAGAAGGGTCTATAAATAGTACATGTCATCTAATACAAATCAAGACGTACTATGGTGATCTCAGTTGAGTTGGAATATCTGATGACGATCGCGCTCCCAAACTGGTCTCCTATAAACCTGTGCACGGAAATACATTACATACGCTGAGCTCAAGAGTTCAGTGCAACACTAATAATTGTATTGTATTACATGCATTAAATAAATGATCATGCAAGTGACATAGGTATGAAGACATGAAAATGTTGATCTAACATGCTGAAGTAGGCATCATGGTGCGACTTAGGGTTCCGCATCTCGGAGCTCACACACCCCTCTAGTCTTTCTGAAATACTCTTGGGTATTTGGGGAGATTCGGAACTGCATCGAAAACGTAAACCCTCCAACTTACTCCGTTGAGTCTTGGGACAACTGCGCCCAGTCAACTACTGAAGTACCTTGGCACTGACTGGATATCCACTGACTGCCGTGTTCTGCTAAAGAGGCTCGGTTGTCTTGATTATTGTTTGAGTGTCAAACAATGCTAGTTTTATGCAGTCCTAGCTGTTACTGTTTCTAATTGTTCTCACTTATAGTTTTATTTACTGATATATTGATGTTATTGAGCCCCTCAAGTCAAATCTCTTAATCATTGGATTATTTATCCAAATTTGTTCGTTGGTATCGATACTAACCCTGAGTATCGATACCTAACTCTCAGTATCGATATTGACTGCTTGATAAAGGCTGATAGGGAAAGGTAATATCGATACTCCTATATGAGTATCGATACTCTGGTGTTGGATATCAATATTGGCCTGAGTATCGATACCAAAATTAGGCACGATGTTTTGAAAAATACCTCAGTATCGATACTTTTACTGGGAGTATCAATACCAAAAATGGCTACTAAAATATGATTTGTGTCCTCGGTATCGATACCACCCTTTGGGTATCGAAATCAGACCTGCAGTATCGATACTCTCTAAATGAATATCGATACTCCTTTTGGAAAATTTCCTCATTTTTCACTAGCTGAAGAACTGTATCGGTACTTTTCTTCCAATACTGATACTCCGACCTATAAATGCTCTATTTTGGGCACGAAAAGTACTTTCAACCCAAAATATCCTATTGAGGTTCCCAATTCTTATTTAAGTCATATGTACGAATAAGGGGATCATAAAAAGGATTTTAACATGCCGAAGCATCCAAAGATGTAATCTACCATAGACATACTTTATAGCTCATGCAACCTACCAAAACACACCTAAAGATCTACATATGGTAGAGATAAGTTAGAAGTGTTTAACCTTTGTTTCCTAAGCCGTTGTAGGCGTTCAAAGCTCGATCAAGTGCAAGCTTTTTCTTTCCTCTAACTTTGGAGTTTTCTTCAACTTCTCTCACTAAGCAAGAGATCAAGACAAGTGTTACTAACTAAATTTAGAGCGTAAGAAGGGTTTAAGAACAATTCCTAAGGCTTAAACTCTCTGAAAAACATATTAAAACACCTAGGTCTCTTAAACCCTCATAAAACCCATTTGTGGCAACTATGTTCAAATCTTGCAAGAGAGTGCTTGAATTGAATCTTAGGATGAGAGGGTTAGGAGTCTTACCTTTAGAATGCCAAAATAGGGTTGCAAGGTCACCAAGTTATCAACTTTGTTGGTTTTAGGTTAGAGAAAACGAAGATGAAGGAGATGAAGAGGAAAAAGAAGACTTAAGAAAAAAAAAGAGTGTGACAGATGTGAGATCATCCATTTTTAATGGAATTCAGCCTTTAAAATAAGAAATGGGTTTATTTCGTCATTGGCCCTTCTACATTTGGTTAACTCTAAAAAATCTCCCTTTTATCTACTAAAGGGCTTAACCTAAGCTCAATACCTCCTTAACTTGGGTCAAGGCTTCCCACAAGCCAAGGGATTTATCCAAAGCCCAACTCGGGTTAGCCCGAAACTCCTAACATGGAATT